ATGGATCTTGGGGAGAGTCAGCACTGTAAGGAGGGCCTGATAATCATTCCTGTCCCCACACTTTCCTCCGGAGGTGATCATTATGGAAGATATCTTGCTGCTGAGGGTGAGAAGGGAATCAAGGGAGGGCTTTCTCCAAGACTGCAGCTTCCGCCCTGGCCCCTATGCGGCTTGCCTGTGTGCAGCAATGGTCCCCCCGCCCCCATGACGGCACAGTGGTGCGGGAAAGTTACCATTAATGGGGCAAGAAACAAAGCAGCTCTGCCGAGGAACCTGCAGCAGCGGATTGCCCAGTATCTCCATGAGAGTTTTGTGGAGATCTCTGAGGGAGATTCCCGTGAAGTGAGGGAGTCAATCAACAGCCTGTTCCACCACTCAGACTAGGCATGCGGTGGGAGACAAGCCTGCTTTCTGCAACCCTCCTTCCCCCAGCAACTCGCTTCAGCAATTCCCAAAATCAGATCCACTTACCAGGGGCCTCCTCTCTTCATTAACATCCAACAGCTGTGACTGGCTAGTCTCCTCCGGGATAGAAAAGAGCTCCTGGCTGCATGCATCTCTGACCTCCGAGTGATCCTCTGCCTCTGGGTTCCCCTCCACCTCCACATCCTCGTCCAAGATTTCTTCCTCCTGGCTCAGTCCACTCTTGACTGGCACACAAGCCACCAAAGTATCCAAAGTGGTCTTCGCAGTGGAGGTGGGGTCGCCGCCGAGTAGCGCGTCCAGCTCTTTATAGAACCGGCAGCTAGTGGGCGCAGCACCGGAGCGGTGGTTTGCCTCCCCAGCCTTGTGATAGGCGTTCCGCAGCTCCTTCACTTTGACCCTGCACTGCAATGTGTCCTGCTCATGGCCCCTTTCTGTCATGCATCGTGAAATCTGTCTGTAGGTATCATAATTCCTATGGCTGGAGCACAGCTGGGACTCGACAGCCTCCTCTCCCCAAATGCTGATGAGGTCCAGCAGCTTGGCATTGCTCCAAGCAGGGGATCACCTGGTGCATGGAGCAGGCATGGCCTCCTGGAAAGATGCGCTGAGACCACTGCACGCATCATCGAACAAACAGGAAGGAAGGAATGTACGGGATGGGGATGACAGTTGGTCACCTGAGGGCAGGGCAGCAGAGTTCAAACCAATGACCAGAGAGGTGAAAACAGGCATTGTGGGACACCTCCCAGAGGCCAATCACAGCGCTGTAATCGCCATGGTGTCTACACTGGAATCGTGGTGCTGTAGCCCCAGCACAGAAAGCTCTACACCTCTCGTCGGGGTATTTTTGATTTTTTTTTAAAGCTCTACAACTGCGCAATTTCTCCTCACTAAGTGGCTTGGCAGTGTGTACACCTCGGGAGTTACAGCGCAGAAAGCTGCTTTACTGCGCAGAAACTTGTCAGTGTAGCAGAGGTGAAAGTAAGCCAGTACGCCACGGTATGGCATACCAGCAAGAGCCCGTGCGCCGTACCGGGGCGGATCGGCTTCCCCTGGCAGCAATTTAAAGGGCCTGGGGCTCCCAGCAGCTGGAGCCCCAGGCCCTTTAAATTGCCGCCAGAGCCCTGCTGCCGGAGCCCTGGGGAAGCGATGCGGGGCTTGGGCAGCGATTTAAAGGGCCCAGGGCGCCTGCCGCAGCTACTGCCCTGGGCCCTTTAAATCATCCCTGGAGCCCTGGGGTAGCGGCGGCGGGGCTCCAGTGGCTATTTAAAGAATCTGGGACTGCGGCAGCCACTACCGCCCGGGCCCTTAAAATAGCTGCTGGAGACCTGTCGCTGCCTCTCCAGGGCTGTGGCAGCAGGGCTCCAGGGACGATTTAAAGGGCCCAGGGTGGTAGCGGCAGCTGGAGACCCGGGCCCTTTAAATCACCGCCCGAGCCCCCGGCTGCCGCTGCTACCCCAGGACCCCGGCAGCGGCTCAGGTGGCGATTTAAAGGCCTCGGGACTCCCACTGCCACTACCCTCCAGGGCCCTTTAAATCACCACCCGAGCCCCGCTACTGGAGCCCTGGGGTAGCAGCGGCAGGGCTCTGGCAGTGATTTAAAGGGCCAGGGGCTCCCGGCTGCCACTGCTGCAGTGGAGCCCCGGGCCCTTTAAAGCTCCACCAGAGGCCGGGGCCCCCTCCAATGGTGATTTAAAGGGCCTGGGGCACCACTGCGGTAGCAGCAGCTGGAGCCCCAGGCCCTTTAAATCACCCTCGAGGCTCCCAGCTGCCTCTGCAGTTGATAGCTCTGGGGGTGATTTAAAGGGCCCGGGGCTCCCAACTGCTGCTACCACAGCCCCAGACCCAAGGCCCTTTAAATCTGGATTTAAAGTGCCCGGGGATTTAAAGGCCTTGCCTCTTCTGGCAGAGGCCACGCCTCTTCCGGTTGAGGCCCCGCCCCTCCTAAGGACTCTGGAGTACCAGTAAGTCCTTTAAGTTACTTTCACCCCTGCAGTGTAGACAGGGCCTCAGTCTCTTATCTGCAAAATGGGGAGAATCATATTCTAGTGTTGTAAGGCTAAATACATGAAAAAAGTGAGAGACTGGATATTATGGGGACAGGGCTCATACCCATAGTTGTTATGCCTATGTTTACACAGCAAAAAAAGCCCTAGGTAGCAAGTCTCTGAGTCTGTGTCAACTGACTCGGGCTTGTACTGCAGACCTAAAAATACTGTAGATACTTGGTCTTGGGATGGAGGCTGGGCTCCAAAACCCTCCCCACTAGCTGAGTTTCAGAGCCCAAACAACTCCTCTGCTATTTTTAGCCCCACAGTATGAGCCCTATCAGCCCAAATCAGTTGACCCAGGCTCGGAGACTCACTGCACAGGTCTTTTTTTGCTGTGTTGATGTATCCTAAAAGGAGTGGGGGGAGAGAAGTAAAGAAAAGTTGGAGTTGGTGAGAGACAGGTAGGCATAGAAAGAGAGAAAAAATGGAGAGAATTAATGAAAAGAAAAGGGAGGGTAGAAAACCTAGGAGACACAGTAAGTAAAAAAAATAGTATATTGTCATATAGAAAGTCTGATATAAAAATATTACAATGAAATACACAAAGTAGTTGGCAGGGCACAGGCTCGAGTAGGAGGGGGATGTAGAGATTTGGCTGTGGGTGGGAGATGAACACAGGAACCTAGAATTTTTAGAGAGGAGCGGAGAGGCTCTGGTGGGATATGACGTTTTACATCAACAATGCTGGCATTTGGCAATGGCTTGACATATTTATATATGTGTGTTGCATGGGAAAATTTGCAAGTTTGACACCTGGTGGCTTTGGCCAGTGTTTGCTGGGTTGTTTTGTTTTTTAACCAAACCTACTTTACCACATGCAAATCACAGGCAAAGATCAGGCTCCTTTCCTTTCCTTTCCTTTCCTTTCCTTTCCTTTTGTTTTTAATTCATAAAATCTGTCTCCTGAAATGTCTTAAAATCATTTAAAATTCAGGACACTGCACCAGATACTCCAGTTTTTCAAGAAAAGAACTTCTGGGCCCTTCCTTTTTATTTGCCATTACATCAGGACAGTTTCTCCACCCGGGGTAAGTCTAAACAAGGGTATTTATAAGGATCAAGGCCGGCTCCAGGCACCAGCCTGGCAAGCAGGTGCTTGGGGCGGCCGCTCCAGAGAGGGGTGGCACGTCCAGGTATTCGGCGGCAATTAGGTGGACGGTCCCTCACTCCCGCTGGGAGCAAAGGACCTCCCGCCGAATTACCGCCGCAGATCGCGATCGCGGCTTTTTTTTTTTTTTTTTTTTGGCTGCTTGGGGCGGCCAAAACCCTGAAGCTGGCCCTGATAAGGATAGTTGTTGAGAGCCTCAGGGATGTGCCTCTGTCCAGCTCACATCCCCCTCCGCCCCCCATAGTTGTGCTTGACTAGCTATGGGCCTACTTGGGGACATGAATTCTTTCTGGATACATTTCTGCTCTTGCTGCAACCTGTTGCCACAAGATAATGCCAAAGCAGGACATATCACTTGTAATAACGGTCACCAGAACTGGTGAGCTCCCTCTCTGATTCTAATCTACCTTAACCAATAGCTATATGCTAATAAAGTCATATGTCCTTCCTCCTGTGTAAACATGGACTAAAATTTGGTCCTTGATTTGTGCTTTGGTATATAATCTGCTGTCTCCTGTGTAAGCAGAGTCAGGATGAGCTCTACCCTGACATCTGGTGGTGAATTATGGCGAGTGTGGAAAAGAACTCCAGGGGCTGATCTTGTTTGCATAGGCACACCCACTCGCCTGGCATGAAACAACAGCAACTCAAAGTGGTTACTTTGGCTGGTGTGGGATCCCCAGTTTCTCT